AACCCAGGCTAAAAAAAAAAAAAAAAATGCCTTGGGGGGGGGGGGACATCAGCCACATGACCACACAACCTTTTGCTTTGGTTAACCAGGGCTCTTTTTGTAGAAAAAGCCCAGCAGGAACTCATTAGCATAACAGGCTACATCCAACAGCAGAAACTCATTAGCATATTAGGCCACACCCCTGACAGTACAGCTCATTAGCACATTAGGCCGCACCCCCATGTTACCAGAAGTGTGGTCTTCCAGCCACGCCCACCTTTTGCTTCTTACTCTGTTTACCTTGTTTGTCGTCAAAACCCAGGGCTTTTTTGTAGCAGGAACTCCTTTACATGCTATTTTCTTCGATTTATTTTATTTCCTTCGATTTATATACCGCTCACCCCCTAAGGGCTCTGAGCGGTTTACGTTATACAATTGATACAATTCTTTACCTAAGGCCACACACATACCATGGGGGAAGTGACTAACCTAACAGGCACCCTCTAGCGGAGTCTTTGTTGTTATAGTCTTGTTAGGCCACACACCCCTAATGTAGCCAATCCTAATGAGTTTCTGCTGTTGGGTGTGGCCTATTATGCTAATGAGTTCCTGCTGGGTGTGGCCAACTTGGGAGCCAGCCGGAACTCCGTTCCTGTGCGTTCCTGCCCAAAAATAGCCCTGGTTAAGACTATTCTGTCCTTGAATCATATGAATTAGAGCTGAGACAGTCTGAGGAGACTTAACCGTACAACCTTAAACCCAGTGAAACCCTTGCCCTTGATTTCAGCAGACTCAGCAGCAACCCTGCGCAGGTTTGCGCTGCTTCTCGGGCCATCTGCTGAAGACAGGGCTGTGGAGCTCTGCTTGCACGTTCCCCTCCCTCATTACCTGTTTGGACTTGTACTTCTTTGAGTATCGCGGCGCGACAAAGCACTCCGGTTTCATGTCCATGCTTTCTGGGTCGGAGACGGCCTGGGGAGCAGCAGCCCGGCTTTTCATTTTCAAGAACGACAGGATGTTATGGACCTCCAGACGGTAGGAGCTGTCGGCCATGGTCTTCCCTTTGGAAGCCAAGGTGCAGGCCGCCATCCATCGGGCATACTGATTCTCCTGCAACAGTTGAGCGCCGTGAAAAGAAAATCTGATAAACAGAGCTGCCAACTCTGTGTGTGGAAATGCCTGGAGATTTTTTTTGGGGGGGAGAGGCCGGGAAGGGCGGGGTTCGGGGAGGGGAGGGACCTCAGTGGGGGCATAACGCCACGGAGCCCACCCTCCAAGGCAGCCGGTTCCTCCAGTGGAACTGGTCTATGTAGTCTGGAGTTCTGTTGTAATTCTGGGACATCTCCAGGCCCCACCTGGAGACTGGCAACCTTACTGGCAAGCTGTATTCTGTTCATTCGTAATCATTTAAATGGTGGCATCGGGCTTCTTTGGTTCGCTTAGGCCATGATTCTGAAGGGACTAGAGAGAGATTTGGGCTTCCCCAACGTGTGCTGGCCTAAAGTCTACTGATATAGGAATGGAATCCACCTTTGGCTTCCTCCTGAGCCCAGGACTATCGGCCACTGGAACTTATGCCTTGCTCGGGAATTCACAGCTGATGCCGGAGGGGAGCTACTGATGACCAGTGTTCCCTCTAAGCTGAGTCAGTGTGAGCTAGCTCACAGTTTCTTAGCTTCCGGCTGACATATTTTTGTCTTAGCTGAGGAAGGATGGCTCCAGAGCAAACTAATTGATGCAGTAGCATAGCCAAATCCCTCACGCACAACTTTAATGCCCGTAGCTCACAAAGTAGAATTTTTGCTCACAAGACTCCACAGCTTAGAGGGAGCATTGCTAATGGCCCCTTCAACAGTAAATCCAAGGTAAAAACCACACTGTCCTTTATACAAAGCAACACGGAGTCTTGAAACATTTTAGAGACAAATCAGGTGGAAGGCAAAATCAAGAGCAAAGAATTAAGAAAGTGTGATCTTATGTCTACTAAAATCATATTCTCATAAGATTTTGCACTCGTTGCTTCTTTTTTAATGGTTTGTTCTCGACCCTTTTGTTCTACCCGATCAGCCATTCAGATAGGGCTTTCTTTCCGCTGTTCCTTAGCAGCTGGAATATGAAAGGCAAATGCGTTTATCAGAGACACGGGCATCGGTGGGCTGGAGCCAAAGCAGCTGGAGCGAGACCAGCAATGTGGAACGTGTGTGCGCAGCGCCCCTGTGCAAAGACGCTCCCTCGTACAGCTTCACTCACAGGCTGGCATAACGGGCAAAGTCAAATCCTATCAATGTGTCGAACAACCGTTATTCATTTATTCGCTTCGCTGGTGTCCCGCCTTTCTTCCCAAGGGGGACCCAAAGCAGGCTTACATCGTTCCCCTCTCCTCCCTTTTATCCTCACAACAACCCGGTGAGGAATGTTAGGCTGGGATAAGGATCCCAAGTCCCCCCGAGGGGCGGGGAAACCCCCGCCCCAGAGGCTCGTTCCCCGGCGCCGCTGGATCGGGCCCCGGGGGGAACTCCTCCCTGACGTGTGCATCACCCGGAAGTGACGCGGGCACGACGGGCACGCTGGGGGTGGGGCCACGGCCGTACAAGGGAAAATGCTATGGTTTTCCCTTGTATGGTCGTGGCCCCGCCCCCGGCATGCCCGGCGTCATAACGTCACTTCCTGGTGACGTATGTGTGGCGCGTGCACGCTTCGTGCGCGCACTCCAGGATCCACCCGGGAGTCCTCCGCTGCCAAGGAAAGTTCCACTTGGCAACCCTAGGCTGGGAGTGTGCGAGTGGCTCAAGGTCACGCAGCGGCCTTCTGTGGCAGGGATGGGACTCGAACCTGGGTCTCTTCTGACACTCCAGCCACTTACACTGCCCTGGCTCTCACCCACCTGGCTGAATGTTTTTGCTCCTCCCTCGTTACCTGAGTGGACAGTTCTTGTTTCTGCGCCCCCGTGTGACACTCGACTGGCAACCTTCAGGCTCTATGTGGTGCACAAGCTTTGCAAAGCTCCTGGCTCTTCATGGGATGTCCTGAGCCTGTTATGAGCCTGGGCCTGTGTAGTGAGATTTTGTTCTACCCGATCAGCCATTCAGATAGGGCTTTCTTTCCGCTGTTCCTTAGCAGCTGGAATATGAAAGGCAAATGCGTTTATCAGAGACACGGGCATCGGTGGGCTGGAGCCAAAGCAGCTGGAGCGAGACCAGCAATGTGGAACGTGTGTGCGCAGCGCCCCTGTGCAAAGACGCTCCCTCGCACAGCTTCACTCACAGGCTGGCATAACGGGCAAAGTCAAATCCTATCAATGTGTCGAACAACCGTTATTCATTTATTCGCTTCGCTGGTGTCCCGCCTTTCTTCCCAAGGGGGACCCAAAGCAGGCTTACATCGTTCCCCTCTCCTCCCTTTTATCCTCACAACAACCCGGTGAGGAATGTTAGGCTGGGATAAGGATCCCAAGTCCCCCCGAGGGGCGGAGAAACCCCCGCCCCAGAGGCTCGTTCCCCGGCGCCGCTGGATCGGGCCCCGGGGGGAACTCCTCCCTGACGTGTGCATCACCCGGAAGTGACGCGGGCACGACGGGCACGCTGGGGGTGGGGCCACGGCCGTACAAGGGAAAATGCTATGGTTTTCCCTTGTATGGTCGTGGCCCCGCCCCCAGCATGCCCGGCGTCATAACGTCACTTCCTGGTGACGTATGTGTGGCGCGTGCACGCTTCGTGCGCGCACTCCAGGATCCACCCGGGAGTCCTCCGCTGCCAAGGAAAGTTCCACTTGGCAACCCTAGGCTGGGAGTGTGCGAGTGGCTCAAGGTCACGCAGCGGCCTTCTGTGGCAGGGATGGGACTCGAACCTGGGTCTCTTCTGACACTCCAGCCACTTACACTGCCCTGGCTCTCACCCACCTGGCTGAATGTTTTTGCTCCTCTCTCATTACCTGAGTGGACAGTTCTTGTTTCTGCGCCCCCGTGTGACACTCGACTGGCAACCTTCAGGCTCTATGTGGTGCACAAGCTTTGCAAAGCTCCTGGCTCTTCAT